TGCAAACTATCGCGGAATGTAGCGGGAATACGCTAACGGTATAACGTCCGGGGAACTGAGTTTTGCGCGCAGGGCTTCATTTGTGCGGTGTAAGGCCCTGGGGGGACTTGACCAGAGGCGCAGGTGCCGTCCTCCATAGGGCAGGTGTTCTGGTCCGACAGTCAGGTGCACGCGCCACGGAACTCGGGCTTTGACCCGGACGTGCAGGTGTGGCGGTCCCGAACCCAGCTGCATGTGCGTTAATATTGCACGGGTCTCCCGCCGTCGGCGGGCGGTCCAGGTGGCCCGACCGGGATCGACGAGCGGGAATCTGTTTAGCGGCGCAGTTGGCCTTATTTGGAAGGATCAGTCAGAACGCAGCGTGTCGCTGTGGGCCGCAGACCTCACAGTCAGTACTGGAGCTCTGCAGAGGCAGCGATCCAGCCTCAGGACACAGCCGGACAGTCACTCCAGACACAGCCGGACGGATACTCGACTAATGGCCGGGCACGCCCAAACGCGGCGGACAGACACTCGGCTACTGGCCGGGTGCACTCAAACACAGTCGGACGGACACTCCAGGCACAGCCAGACGGACTCTCGGCTACTGGCCGGGTGCACTCAAACACAACCGGACGGACCCGGGTGCACCCAAACACAGCCGGACGGACACTCCAGACACAGTCGGATGGACTCTCGGCTACTGGCCGGGTGCACTCAAACACAGCCGGACGGACACCCCAGACACGGCCGGACGGATATTCGGCTGCTACAGAGACTCGGGCGGACGAACACGCGTTGTGGAGAGGCGCGGCGTCACACAGCATTTGCCCGCTGTATTATTGCTGGAGCTCTGGAGGACAACGACGTTACAGGTGAAGTGATGGCCCCGCAACGCCGACGGTAGCCTGTTCCGGCAAGCATGGCTGTTTACCGCTGGGGACGATGGTTATCAAAAAGGCCAGTCGCAATTCTTTTACCGCACGCACGACAAGCTTGCCCGACGTTTTAGCGTAATCAAACATCAGCCGCATTACGCAGTGCGTGCCAGTTTTCACCGCACTGCCGCTCTATGCATATGTAGCCACACACATACACCCAACACACGCGCGCACACACACGCGCGCGTATAAGGCTGCGTCTGAGTGACTGACAGCGAGGGCGGTGGGCGGTGGGTGGGCGGGCCGGCGGACCGGCGCAGCCGACCGGCCCGGCGGGGCGTCGGTGAGGCCCGCTTGTGTTGGCGGCTCGCGGCGGCCACGGTCCGCGGCCGGCGACAGGCCTCTCCGTAATGGATGACAGGACGCCGCCCAAATGGCCTGGGCCCGGCCAGACGCGCTCCACTCGCCGCTCGCTCTTCAGGGCGACGGCATCGGGCCGCCGGCGCCGGCGGGCCCGGCCGCTGCCTCCCGGACGAGCAGCTGCCGAGGTGGCGCGTGCGAGCGTGGGCCGGGCGGGCTCAGCTACGGGGGATTACGTAGGGGGCCGGTTCAGCTACACACACGAAGCTGTTTGTAAACTGCAGCGCTTGCTACTCGCTGCGGTAAAAGGTTGGGTTGTGGGCTGACTTTGAGCATGGTTCTCCTTCTGAGTTCTGCTTACGATACTACGATACGATACGATACTACGATACGATGCGATACTACTTGCGATACATGGCGCGCGGTGCCAACGCAGATGACGCGATAATCGGTCCATCAGCTGTGTTTGTCTGCTCAGCCTCCAACGGAACATTTTACCGCGCTGCTCACCATCCAGTTCAGCTCATTCTTGCCTTGCATCGGAAAAAGATTGTTAGGTACGGTGACCAGCCACAAATGTTTTTTTTTACATCCACTCCGTATTTTCTGAGACCGTTGAGCCACTTTTGTTCCGGACACTCAGCTGTTATCTCCAGTTAATGCTACAATGGACTGAGCACCAAGCACGGGACAGCCTGCAATGAAAGGCTAGAAGCCAACGGGCCTGCAACAGTCATGCCATTCGCCACAGGTGTCACCGCAACTCCCCGATGTCACCGCCACTCCCACACCGCAGGTCCCATTAACCCAGATCCACGAGTGCCCCGAGGTTATGTGGCCCGGCCGCGCCGCTCGCCCGCTCTCCCCCGACGGTGCCACTCTTTCCGAGCTCTTCCGGCCGCAGAGATTTGTGTTGAGTCTGTCATTGTGATGACAGTGTCCGAGCGCCGCCGGCGTTGTAAACAGACAGCGGCGCAGTGACAGGGCAGGCTGGCAGCAGGCCATTCCTGGCGCTACAGATCTGTCTGGGCTTAGAGGGTCGGTGTCAGCCTTATTTACGAGACAGTCTGAAAGGGACTCATCGTACCACAAGACATTACCGAAGATGTTTTATCAAGAAAGTGCTGGCATTGCAACCAAAGGAACAAGGTTTTTTACTGACAAACACTAAAAGCTTGCTGTGATTTTAGACTCCCACGCACCTCTCTCATGCTTCCACGGCCTATGGATGACATTAAACTTATGTTGATAGAAGCTGTAATTTATAGCTCATCCCCTAGTAGCTGTGAACTGTCATCCGTATTCATACCTTATCCATCATTTCTTGGCCACGTCACCGTGCGTTTAATCTACGCTAAAATTTGAGGCCACGCTGTAGTAAACAACATAATGAAATATTGAAAACGCTTTATTTCATTCCAATCAAGAAAGGACGCCGCATGCTCAAAAGCTGACAAGATCATTGCTGGCAAGTACGAACCCCGATCCCCGAGGTGCGCAGAGACCACACTCCCCGAGCGGCCTAAACTGTCAACGCCTGTTTCGTTCTTCGCTGCTGTTTTTCTCGTGACGAACCGGAACTTTGTGATTCTAGCCACTAACTTTTTATTTACAGAGCCTTTTTATTTGACGGTCGTAACAGTTTCATCAGTATTGATCTCACGACCGCCTGGTGCGAAACTCCTTTGTCGGGGCTGTCAACCGTGCTGTCATTCGTTTGAACAGGACTCGACGAAGAAATTTCCCCTCGCACAAGCCCTCATTCGTTTGAACAGGACTCCACGAAGAAATCTCCCCTCGCACAAGCCCACAACGGACACTATCGCTGGGTGGGAGCGCCGGGCAGTCCCCATTTTTGCAGCCTGCGCCCGCACTGGCCCGGCTAGTCCGCGCGGACCCGTTACGCGGAGGTGACGCGGCCCGTTTCCGCCGTACTCCGTCTTGGTCTCAGCGTCCACAGAGCTCTGCGCCGTCCGAGCGCGCGGGAACGTGTATCACCATACATTCGTGCGTGCTTGTGTGTGTGTGTGTGTGTGGTGTGTGTGTGTGTGTGTGGTGTGTGTGTGTGTGTGTTGTGGTGTGGTGTGGGTGTGTGTGTGTGTGTGTGTGTGTGCGTGTATGCGTGTGTGTGTGTGTGTGTGTGTGTGTGTGTGTGTGTGTGGTGTGTGTGTGTGTGTGTATGTGTTGTGGTGTGTGTGTGTGTGTGTGTGTGTGTGTGTGCGTGTGTGTGTGCGTGTGTGTGTGTGTGCGTGTGTGTGTGGCGTGTGGTGTGTGTGTGTGCGTGTGTGTGTGTGTGTGTGTGTATGTGTGTGTGTGTATGTGTGTGTTGTGTGGTGTGTGTGTGTGTGTGTGTATGTGTGTGTGTGTGGTGTGTGTGTGTGTGTGTGTGTGTGTGTTGGGCGTGTGTGTGTGTGCGTGTGTGTGTGTGTGTGTGTGTGTGCGTGTGTGTGTGTGTGGGTGTGGGTGTGGGTGTGGGTGTGGGTGTGGTGTGTGTGTGTGTGTGTGTGGGTGTGTGTGTGTGTGTGTGTGTGTGTGTGTGTGTGTGTGTGTG